TCGTCCTCGTCCTCGTCCTCGTCCTTGTCGTCGTCATGGTTGTCATCGTTGTCCGGTGAAAGGGGCAGCCCGGAGGAAAGTCATTGTATGCGTTCCATGGCACGTGCTGCTCCCCATGCTCCTCATGCTGCACATATTGTCCATGCTGCCCATGCTGCTGCGGGTGATGGTGGTGGTGGTAATGATTTAATGGTGGTGATGTTGGAGGTTGTAGTGGTGGAGGTGGCGGTGGTGGTGGTTGTTCTTGTTCTTGTTCTTGTTCTTGTTGTTGTTGTTCTTGTGGTTGTTATCGTTCTTCTGCTTTTTCTTCTTCTTTTTGCCGTTCTCGCTTGTATCCACTATACCGTTGAAACATGTCGCTGCGTCCACCGCTGTATGTTTCAACTTTTCATTCGCGGACGGTTGTTTCAATGTTTGTTCGCCTTCTTCACCTACTTGTCCATGCGCTATCCAGCTTACAAGTGGCGAATGCCCAGTGTATGACTCTACGTTCTCTAGCTCCTTGTCTTCGCGCAGCGCGCGAAAAATACAGGTTCGCAGCAGGAAAAAAACATCGGAACGGAAAAAAACACGTTTGGCAGCAGGAAAAAAACGCCTTGCAGCGGGAAAAAGCTGTTTCCGCAGCGGGAAGGAAAAAACGCCAGCAAAAAATGCCGCTTCGCAGCGGTAAAAATTCAAAGCAGCAGAAAAAACACCTTGCAGCAGCACAAAAGCACCTTTGCAGCAGAAAAAATGCATTTTGGAGGCAGCGGGAAAAAACCGTCCGAGGCGGGAAAAAACCCGTCCGAGGCAAGAAAAAAACCGGCCGAGGCGGGAAAAAAACCAGCAGCAGAGAAAGTCCAGCTTTGCAACCCAAAAAGTTGCCGCAACAGAAAAAATACATTTCCGCAACGGGAAAAAGCAGCAGCCCTTGTACAAGGACCCAAAAGGTCCGACACGCGAGGCCGTCTGCTGATTGGCCGCAAAAGAGAACTGGTGAAGGACCTGTACATACAGTCCAAAAAGCCGTCATCATCCACAAACAAAACAGACAAAAGCAAACAGCCCACAAAAACAAGAAAAAACCAAAACAACACAAAAACCAAACAAAAAACCAACACCCACAGGAATGACTGGCTACCAGTTCATTGGAGGATTCATGCAAGAGGTGACAAGTGTTGTGTACTTGTTCACTAATGTTTTGGGGTAGTAGGACTTCATCTTATAATGATGTAACATTTTGGCTCAAGTTGGCTTCCACGTTTTATGCTTTGTTTTGTTTTATTTTATCCCGGGTTCATGGTATGACAGCCATGTTGCTTGTTCAGATTTTTTTGGGTTTTGTTTTTACAACTGTTTGCAGTACTTCAGTTTCTCATGACACGTCATCAACAGACATCACTTCTCCATCTCATTTCGCTCCGGCCGCTCCGGGGCGTTGATGTTACAGCCAGCGTTGGTGGGCCCCAGGTATTTTCACCTGATTTTCATCGACCAAGCATTGCCTTCAGCAGAACTCCGAACAATTATTTTCAGCTTTTTGTACATCCCACCATTGGATTGCTGGCCATTTGAACGTCCGTTGCATGGACCTTGGAACTCAGATTTGTATCATTTCAGTGTGATTTGCACTGCAGTGTATCATCCTTGCGTGAATTTCCTTTCAGTGGACACTCCAAGCGTTGCCTTGTCCCCTGCATCAAGCTTATTTTCGTGACTTGCTGGACATCATGGACATGACTGAGAAGGACGATGATTGGATACTGATTTCACCTGCCAATCCCAAGAAACGTTGTGCCCCAAAACCAGTACCAGTTGCACCTGTTCGATATGCTTCTAGTCTGGACCAACCCCTGAAAAAAGGTGGTAAACCCGCACCAGCATTTGTGAGACCTGGCTCAGTGACCACACCTGCTGATCTACCTCTACGTCAGCCTGGACCTGAATTGCCAGTTGACGGGACATCCAGACGCCAGTCAAGTCGACAAAAAATATCAACAGGACATGTGATTTCTGCTCCACGTGGAGTCAAAACCGCTCAGCAGTCACACACCACTGCGTCCATACCTGCAGATTTAGTGACCAGATGGATGATCATCATCCACAGCGTGGGGAGCCTGTCTCAGATTTGGCAAGACTATCACTTGTCAGATCAGTTTGCAGTTCATTGTCAACGTTTACTCGAGAAGTTTGCACCCTCAACTCTTTTCAAATATATTAATACCCTTCAATGCATTTACACAATTTTACTGGATTTTTCATGGAATTGGATCGACATTGGACGCCACCATTTGTCAGACCTGCTGCAGATCGCACATGAAGGAAAAAGCTCAGAATGGGGATTTGGAGCAACGACAGCAATCAAAGCGTTGCGCTGGGCTCAGAAACTCTTGGTGATACCTGAATGGCAAATGCTATATGACCCAATTGTCAATTCCTTCTTCAGCCCCGGGAATCATGAAAGACGTGAATCCATACCCCTGAGCTTATTTTTGGTTTCTCAATGGGAACGACGTGTCCTGATGAAGGAATGCACTTTACAGGAACAAGTGCTGCTCGGCGGATTTCTTTGCCTCCTTTGGGGCGGATTACGTTTTGCAGACGGTCAAAGGATTTCATTACAGTCCTTGTCATGGTGCATTACAGCATTGAGAGGGTCATGCTATAGAACCAAGACATCTCGCTCTGGTCAGCCCTGGGCAATTCAGGCGAGGGGCTTCTTGTCGCATGGCGAATGGTCATGGGTGGCGCAATGGCTACAGGCGTTAGACACTGTTTGGTCAGGAGCTCACAATGCAGTTTCAGATGGTGATTTTCTGCTACCCATGACCAATGGTCAAAATTTTACATACCCACTTGTGCCCATGCCGTATTCACAAGCGTTGCATTGGCTTAGATATTTCAGCACACTACCCTGGAAACATTCGACAGTTCCAGCGTCAGCCAATCCAAATGATTACACACTGCATTCTTTGAAGACGACCACTTTGAGCTGGTCCAACCAACTCGCACAACAGGGGTTGGTTACAGACGAACAGAGACATCTCCAAGGACACCATCGCAAAGGCAGTATGCGCCTTTACAGTCGAGATGACACAGCAGGTCAACTGGCCCTGCAAAATACACTTATTTTGCAGGTCCAAAAAGGTCACCGGTTTGTGACACCTTTGCATCGAGGCTCCCAGCGTCCAATCCAAGAGCCAGCGGTGACTTTGGAAAAATTTCGAAAATCGTATCAGAAGTACAAATGGCTCTTTTTTCCATTCAATGAGGCCACCACAGACCCAATCCTGGAAGGCATTTCCTCCTCGCATTGGCCGCCTCCTGTGTTATTCAGGAGGACACTAAGGATGATGATTCATCAGATTCGAGTAGCAGTTCATCCTCAACAGCTTCCAGCTCAGCTGCAGAAGAGCTCGACTTTGGGGATGCAGAAGAGTTGATCGTAGCGAGGATCACTAAGATCCAACACATGATGCTTGTCACGACAGATTGCCACCAACCACGGTGGAATGATCAACACTTCAAAGCGGCTTGTGGAGCCAGGTTACCCAGAGACAATTGCGTTTTTGATACTCAGCTGAATCCAAATTTTGGTATGTGTCGTCATGCTGCATGCTTCAAACGCTGGAAGCAGGCATCTTGCGTAGACGACTGATAGCTCTCTTGTCGGAGTCCAAAAAACAGGGTCAGCTGATTCACCATGGCGTGCAAACACAACAACTTGAGATGTCATTTTTTTTTGGGTTGGTTGATGTTCCTTGTGCAGGTTTGACTCATTTCGATGTCGGGCACAACATTTCAGGAATACAAATTCCGATTGCGTTCCGTGGATCAAGATCACACGACATTTTGTTAGTGATCACTTTATTTTCCAGGTACTATCATTCAAATTTTTCATGGGTTTTATTCCTCATTTCCATACTCATTCAACACGTATTAATTGAATCAGATGAAAATTTTCACATCAACCATCAATTCTGTTCGCTTGAGCTTGCGTCGCGTTCTCCAATTGGAGACACATGGCTCTGCCAGATCTGGAAGATCACTTGGCTTCACATGGCGTGGACCCAGCCATATCCTCGCACATGATTCAAAATGGTTGGACATCCCAAAATTTTGCAATGATTGTAGATTCAAAAGAAGGTTTCACTGATGAACTATGGTCAGAACTTTCAGATACCCCTATTCCATTGGTACAGCGTGCAAACCTGAAAGTGGCGTGGCAGTTTTTACAAACGGAGGCTGTGCCTTCAACGCGTGATTCTCCAGGGAGTGCGGCTGCATCTCCATCGGGCATTCAGCCTGACGGATCATGGGCAGAATCTTTTGCCCCTAAGATCCAACCCAGTACAGTGGCAAAACTCAAGAAGCAGTTTCTGGAGGACTACCCCAGTGAAGTTCTGACCACGGAAACAATGCCATCAACGAGACTGTTATCATTAGCACACCACCAACATTCCAAACAGGAATATAGGTGGATCCCCTGGAAGTTTAGAATGACTCAGTCTCGCATGGAGGACATGGTCATCTATCAACGCCCAAAGATACCCAAGGTTGAAGGCCTTCAATTACACCAGCTTCTTTGGGACGAGCCTCCTTCGCTGGATGTCAACAATCAAGGGATGGGAGTTAACGCCATTCGGAACATGTTAGAGGTGCACAACACAGCCATGTCAATAGTGGGAGCTTGCCATTTGCAGCGCCTTCGATCCTACACTTTGAAATTTATGGGATTCTTAACCCAAAGGTTAGATGCTGACTCTGGCCTCCGACCGCCCAACGTATTGGAAGCGCAAGCAGCTGACAAGGCATTGTGGCAGATGATTCATGACCTGGTCCTGGATCAACAATTCACCCTGGACAATGCCATTCACGAGGTGACGCATTTGAGATCCGATATGGCATCATTCCTCCAACCCAGGCCGAAGCTGTCGACCAAACCACAACATCCTTCTCCAGCGGCACCATCCTCAGGATCTGCAAAAGGACGTGGCAAATCAAAAAGCAAAGGCAAACAAGGAGGCAAAAAGGGCGAAACACCTTCTCGCCCAACCTGGGTCACAGAAGCGACAGTGCAAGGCAAACGGCAACAGCTATGTATGCAGTTCCAATCGGGCAAGTGTCAAAAAGGGGATACCTGCCGTTTCAGCCATTTGTGCGCCCATCCATTGGCGTCGGGACAAGCATGCGGCCAACCTCATAGTGCGTTTGACCATCAGCAGCAACCACACTGACTCTTACAGGACGATCAGTTGCGGGTCCCTGCGTTTTCTGAGACCCCAATAGCAAGTGTGGCGCCAGAACCAATTCAAACAGGTGATGAACCAGAAAAAGATTCAACAATGGTTGATCTTCCATCAACATCCGGGACATCACCTTCAGTTTCTACCATTCCACACTCGGTTCAAACCTCTGTGGATGTTTCTTCTCTCGAAGGTTCCAGAATTTTTCTGGACATTTGCGCTGGCTCTGGATATCCTTTGACATCAGCGATGCTTGGACATGGATGTAAATGCTTTCCGGTGGATAAACTGATCGATGCAAAAATGGATCTTCTGGACAATACATTTTTTGAACCTTTACTGAGAATATGCGCTTCGGGCATTGTGGGATATGGAGCAGCTGCTCCTAACTGTGGGGAGTATAGCCGCCTCAAGCTACAACCTGGTGGACCTCCAGCATTGAGAACACCAGAATTCCTCAATGGGCTACCCAACTTGAGCCCATCTGAGTTGGAAAAAATTCAATCCAGCCATACCTTGATGGCCCGATGTGTATTGTGTTTGGAATTGATATTCGCTTCTGGAGGACACGGTCACCTGGAACAACCCACCAATTCAATGGCATGGCTTGAACCTTTGGTACGTCGATTTATCAAATTTTGTGCCCTTTATTTGGTGAATTTTCCCGCCTGCGCTTACAACAGGAATTGGTACAAAGGTTGGCTCCTAGCTTGCACATACCCTGCAATGAAATCATTGGGTGCAATCTGCTCGCACCCACCTGGGACCCATGAAAAGATCGCTGGAGTTAAACATGCAGATGGGTCATACAAGAGCCGAGATACAGCAGAGTACCCGGCTGAAATGTGCCAAGCAATTGCAGCTTTGATATTTCCTTTATGCTCGCCCTCCCAGGGACAATTGTTGGATGCCGTATCAGCCCAAGCATGCATTCCAACCAAACCACTTGATGCTCTACCTGTTAGTTATGAAGATGGTGGAGGGCTTCATTCAGAACCAGACTGGAGCAGACCTTACAGATCAGCCCCTGATGCATTGCACCATCTCCGCAGGCAGTGGGTCCAAATTTTGTTAAAAAACGGGTTGATCGAAAAAATGAAAGCTTTCTTTAAATCAGGGGATAACCAACCACCTTTTAATGACCATGATCTTCAACCATTTCGAGAGTCCATGACGACGTTTATACAATCACATGGACTTACCCCTGATTGGTCCGTACGTGCCGACCAACCAATGCATTTATCCATCATGGCATCTTTGTCACACATTTTGGCTGACAAAGATACATCATTATTTCCCATGTTGCTGGAGGGCGCCCCAACTGGATTCGATGGGAATATACCTAGCTCGGGTTGTTTTCCGAGAGCTGATGACAAAACAGACGAATCCATTCCGTTATCCGTCCACATGACCAACTGGCAGTCTGCAGAATCAGACCTCCCAACCACCCGCGACCTGGTGGCACAAGAATTAGAAAAAGGATGGATTTACAAATACCCGGGATCTCTGGAAGACGCACAACTGGAATTTGGCGACAAATTAGCCATCGGCCGCCTGGGATTAGCATTGAGCGAGACTCGACCACCACGGTTAGTTGTAGACTCCTCCATTTGCGGCGTCAACAACCGCTGCAGCATACCGGAGCGAAGTACGCTCCCGAGCGCTCAGGACATCATGCGGGTCTACCCTTTGAGAAACACTGCTGATTCCCTAATGGGATTCTCGCTTGACATCAAATCTGCTCACAAATTAGTGGTTATTCGAGAATCTGATCGTGGCCTTCTTGGATTCAGTTTAGATAGTTCCATATATTTTTATAAAGTAGCTCCCTTCGGAGCCACCTTCAGCGCATACCATTGGACAAGATTGGGGAGCTTCATATTACGATGCATCCACTTCCTGCTGTGGTGGTCGCACGCTGGATTTTTATACGTCGATGACTTCTTCTTCATTTTCCCAGAGAAGGTTGCTTGGGTAATGGCCAGTCTATGCTGCATACTGGCCCAGGTCCTCAACATTCCCGTTTCATGGCGCAAAACTGAGTTTGGCCCTCGAATTCAATGGATTGGATGGCAATTTCATGTTACAGCAGGATATGTTAGCCTTCCTCAAAACAAAATTGATAAACTTGCAACGTATATCTCGACCATGCAGAAATCATCAAAAACATCCAAAAAAGCATTGGAGAAACTGGTGGGACTACTGAATTGGATCACTCAAATTTTCTTATTGATGCGATGCTGGCTTCCGATCCTCTACCGCGACCTTTACCATGTTCCTGCCAGCCACTACAGCATTGATCCTGGTCATTGGAAACATGTCATTGATTGCTTGGATGATAATTTACAATTTATTCACAAGCCCACTGGAACCGGTATCCCTGTTGGAAGTACTCTTTTAGCAGTACGACATCAAGAAGTCAAATGTAAAGCTGACCTTCACCAAATTTACCTTTCTGAACGCAGAACCTGGTTACGACTCCGTGATCCAGCTTCGATTCGGCGAACTTTGAGTGCTGACTCCCATCGCATATTGGCAATGTATGCAAACTGGCTTCAATCAGTTGCTCTGGTAAAGTGTTTAAGGCCAAAACAACTCTGGTCAGGAGAATGTGCAGCAGATGCTATGGCCTCAGGAAGCATCTGTCAGATTGGCGGATGCATCCGATTCCCCTCTGGCACGACCATCTGGTTTAGTGAAAGATTCACTTTCGATGATTTCAAACAACTGAACATCCCCGTCACACCTGAGATGCAAAAGTGCATTGCCTCCTTTGAGACATTAGCCCAAATAGCGATCCTGTACATCTTCAGTCGCAGCTCCCCAGGTTTTAGATTTCCCTTGCGTATCCAGTCATTGACCGACAACTCTGGTACTGAAGCTGGTGGAAATAAACTATTTTCGACCACTTCTCCGTTGAATTATTTTTGGAACGTTTAACGTTACTTTGTACAATTTCTGGAATGGAACTTGATTTGTCACACATTGCCGGTGACAGAAATGATGAAGCTGACGCATTAAGTCGCTGGGATTTTAATTCGGATCCGCCGTTTGGCCATGAACTGCACAATCGTTTTGCACTTTCATTAGCTCAGCTTTGGCACCCAGAAGCATCCGTTTCCTTGCATCCGCCTGAAACATACCTGGCATGGCAAATTCCATAGTGTAGCCACGTTTTTCTTTTTCGACTGCTGGAATCCAACACTTATTATTGGGGTTAGGTTTGGCGTTTGAATCCCAACAGTCTGATAGAGTAAAAGGGGAGAACATGACCATCAGACCAGGGAGTTCAAATAAGGACATGACCAATGTCCGATCCAAACTGCTTCACAATAGATTCAAAGCAGGCAGTCGAAAAAGATGCGAGTGAGAACCGCTTTTCTTCGAGAGAGTTTCATGCGATCGATGTTTGTGCGTTTTATTATTTATTTATTGTATATAAATAAATAAATATATATATAGATGGAAGCCGACTTGAGCCAGAACGTGTTGTGTACTTGTTCACTAATGTTTTGGGGTAGTAGGACTTCATCTTATAATGATGTAACATTTTGGCTCAAGTTGGCTTCCACGTTTTATGCTTTGTTTTGTTTTACCCTCCCCCCCACACCTTATACATTAGAGGAATTCAACTGTTGTTTCAATTCATACGAACGATCGCTTCGCATCAATTTCATGGCATTATTTGCCCTGGGTTCACCTCTTGGTTTCATAACCGTGGGTCATCCAACTTGACCACAGCCTTGGCTTCCAACTGCAGTTGGCAACGTCCAATCAAATTTCACCGCTGCCAGATCGATAATCGATCCCAAATTTTCAATCTCTCTCTGATGGGGAAAACATGACCATCAGACCAGGGAGTTCAAATAAGGACATGACCAATGTCCGATCCAAACTGCTTCACAATAGATTCAAAGCAGGCAGTCGAAAAAGATGCGAGTGAGAACCGCTTTTCTTCGAGAGAGTTTCATGCGATCGATGTTTGTGCGTTTTATAATAAATAAATATATTTAGATGGAAGCCGACTTGAGCCAGAACCATTGTGTCATCTCATCTTGGTATGGCCACAAACAAAAACACAAAAAGGGGAGAACACCGACACACACAAGGCCATACCCGCAGGTGAGAGAAGCAACACAGCACCATGCGGAAACCAGGGATCCCCCCAGCCAGCATCCCCGAAGCTGCCATCCGCCAAATCCGCCAATTGAGCTGTATCTTAGATAGTTGCACAATCCTCTAGCTACGAAGTTAGCCAAGCGCAAAAAGCCTTACTGCTTCTGCCACATACAGCCAAAGGTGCCAGCACGTCATCGGAAGAGCTAAATGCGCAGACATCACCACGCACAGATATGAATATAAATCTGCCAACTCATGAAAACCAACTCCAAGAGCATTAGCGTATCGAAGTCTACCCTGGAAACCTTCCCAGCGCACCGGATTTGGCACCCTGCCCAACAAACAAGTACCTTCATGGTCGGGCACAAGAAATTACCCAAGAGCAGGATGATCGGAAAAGCACTACTGAGCGGACTGAGCGCACCCGGTGGGCTGTTTCACTGTCCGTTTCACTTAGATCTTTCTCACGATAGCTCTTGTTTCACTGTCCGCCTCACTTTTTAGTTTTCACCACTCTCGTTGCGACGCGGCGTTGCCGTTGTTTGCTTCGAAGTGACCATAGGTGAGTCGTTATACCTTTGCTGCTTGCGCCTTGTGATCTCAAGGTCAGTGACCCGCTGAGATGGGACGGATTGGATACCCTGAAGCTTCTGGCATGCTTTGTCCAGCAGTTTGGTGGCGGCATCGATTTCACTGGTAGTGATCTGACACAGGGTCAACTGAGTGATTGATGTTGCTAAGCGATTGACTGCGGCATCTTTCATTGGAGTAGGGCGGGCCATCTGTAGGGTGCAACTGCACGCAGGGTGTCCTGCAGGTAGAGCGGCTGCACAGTCAAGCCATCAAGAGCGGTATTGTCTGCTAATTGGAGCCAGAGTTGAGAGCGACGTCCATTAGGAATTCGTATACAACCGGTCAGGGTTGGTTTGAAGTCCGGCAAACGGCAACGGGTTCCATGGCTTGATGTACTTTGACATCATCCTAAGCTAACGGCTACTAGTGTCAACTAGTGGTAGTTAAGTAACCCGTGTCCCCCCCCCCATCCCAATTTGCTTCTCACTCCTACCTTTATCTGCAGTTTAACAGTAGAGTGATCTCGATTGACTCACCACCTTAGCTGAGTCACAGGTGTACAGGCCAACCATGAGTACCTCATGTTGACCGGTAGCACCTATGATGTGGGGCACTGTAGTTGCCGGTGTTTGATGCGTGACAACCGTGAGGACCTCACGTTGTCTCCTGGCATTTATTGGAATTGTGAATTTGGTTGCGCAGGGGCGTGTTACTGCGCTTCGGCGGCTGTGGCCTCCGGAGGAGCTAGCTGCTCTCTCCGAGGGTGCTGGGTCATCGTTTACCTCTGGGTTGATCATTTGCGCAATAACTGGGTGGTTCTGTTTGTCTTGCATGATCCTAATAATGGCCTGGATGAAGGCATTGGGGGCTCCCACCAAAGCTTTTGCCTCCGCTAGTGGCCGATCTAACACAATGGCAATGAGCATTTCTCCCGCATCTTTCTTGATCAGGGCTGGTCTTCCAGCCTGCATCCGCTCCAGGATTGCGACCGCTTTGTTTTCACACAGGTTTCGTTCCCACTCTTCTATAGCTCGTTGCGCCAGTGATCCAGTTTGTGGTGGGACCATTCGGGCCGCTGGGGTTCCCAGTGCCGAAAGGAATGTATTATCGGGCAATGTGGCAGCGGGCACTGCTGCAAGGGCCGTGACGGCCCGGCGTGTGTCACTGTCCTTCACCTCATAGGAGGGGGATGTGATGTTTTCTGTGCGATGGCTGACTCTGAGTTTGCCGACAGTCGTTGTAAGGTGAAGCCTGGCCTGGGTTCCATGTATTTCTTGTTCCACACTGCATTATGAGACCATTGGGGTGCCTTGCGATTGATCTCGACCAGGTCTCTCTTCAGGTCGTATTCTCCAAGCAAGTTGTCA